TTCCCTACCACCCAGCCGACGCCACTGCCGCTCTCGGATATCTTCCTACAACATTAATTGGGCGATTCGCCTATTATTGTATTTCCTTTCTATTTGAGTCGTGTTGTAATCATATTTCTACATTAATAAAAAGTTAACTTTTGTGTTCTACTGTTCTACCTACTATTTCCAGTATCACATAGGCCTTAAATTTGGATGGATGAGAGATCAACGACACTTAAATAATTTATCTACATTTTATGCTAATTTATAAAGTTAATTTATGAATGTTTATTTTTCTATTTTTAATTTTTTTTTATAATTTGCAAATGCTTAAGAGGATAATGATCACATTTAACTCTCCTTTGGTGAGTGTTTACAAAGATAAGATGTTACAACAAGCTTAGATTCATTTTGTGGCATGAATGACAAGCATTTAATAGCAATTCGAGAATCGTCACTGAATTTTGATCTTGTTTAGTCATTGTCGAAAAAATACTTGGTTCCAAAGATTGGCACAGTGAGGGAGATATAATGTTTGCGTAGCTGTTTGTCCCGTCCAATTCGTCTAAGTTACACCTTAAAGAAATAATAACAATAATAATCTCATCCTATCTCCAGTTTGGCTTAAGGCATGCTGGTTCTCTTCCTTTCCTACACCTAAAGCTCTCCATTCATGCGCTGCTCTCTCTCTCTCTCTCTCTCTCTCAATCACCGGTTCACACATCTCTCATTCCTCTCTCCAAGCAGGCAACCTACTCGCAAGGCCGTCTTCTCCAACCTGTTCTGGTCAACCCGAAAGAAGCCGCAACTAAAGATCAACAACAAAAGATTGTCTTTAGAACTCATTTCAATCAACGACGAACAACATGTGATTTTCTATTTTAGCCTAATTCAAGGTTGTTGACTTGACGATTGTTCCCCCGTATTCTTGGAATTTTTTCATGAAATTTGAATTTCTTTCTTGTCAGTTTCAATTTTATTTTTTATGCTTTCTTTTTAGTGGTTAGGAGAACGATGTTAAGGATGGATGGTTAGAAAGATAGACGCACGAACAAGCTTAGATTTGCTCGATGATCATGATGACACATTCATTATTTATTTCTGGGTTTCCATTGAACTTTTGGTCATGCTTAGTCGTTGTCAAGAATTAATTTCTCTTTGCTCATTGAAAATTGATTATTGGAAGGATTAGAAATCTCGTGCTTGGCCAACAATAAATGATACAGTGAGGGCCTTCAATACCCACTTAAATCATAGACCGTCGATGCATGATCTTCAATTTAGCTGGACAAAAAATTAACAGTAATTTTGTTATTCACATGAATTTGCACACGAGAGAATTGACATTAAAGAAGACCAAATTTTTACATGTTTTTTTTCACGAAGAATCTTTGGGTGAGTCAAACATCGAGGTATTGGGTTTTTAGAGCAAGGGCATACTAGAAAGGGAGAACAACATTAGGGACACTGCTGTTAGAGTTCGGGAGTAAGGAAAAGAAGCGCATGTTGGGCATAGGGGGAGCTAAAAAGAGTGTGTGAGTTGTATGGGAGGTTGAACTATTGTTGAGGTTCGAGTGCATTGGAAAAGAAGGGGGTAGTCACCAAAATGAGCTAAGGGCAATATTTAGCAGGCAGACGAGAAAACTTGGCAATTAGGATTAAGCATAAGCTAGGGAGTATGGGAGAGTATTTAGAAAGCATTTGAGTGTGTGTGTGTGAGAGAAAGAGAGAGAGAGAGAGAGAGCGGGCGAACATCCATAAGCAAGGGAATGATGGGATACGGGAACTCATGCGGCAGAACCGACTGCATATAAGCCAGTCTAGGGACCCGTCCAGGGAAGATTCAATTCTAGCTATCGGGTCGGGCCCACACACTTCTTTAATTACGTACAAGAGAAGAATTAAAGATGGTTTTGGGGGGTGGGGGGAAGTTTGAATGGATCTGGGGAAGTATTTATTCAGGCTAATTAGCGAGGATTGGTTTTTATGTTTGGTTTTGCTGCAGTTTTCTTTTAGTTTTGTGCTCCAGAAGACATCTAGGGATTGTGGAGAGACAATTTACCTCTCAAATTGTGGATTACCCTAGTATCTTACTTATTTGCTTTAATATTAATTAGCCCTAATTTTGGTTTCTTCCCACCTACTTCTCGCAAGTTGTTTGCTGATTTTGGTTATGTATCGTATCAGACACTTGTGGAAAGAATCACATGAGAGCGAGCGGCAAATGGTGTAGGGGATGCAGGTATAGCAGACAAACATCATCGAATTGTAGATGATGATTTTATTCTAGGGGGAGAGATGGATTGTGGTCTTTAGCTGCGGTAAATGCATGATTTTGTCTTGTATGGAAGTTGACCTATACGTGACTTACAATGCTTGCAAGGAGATGAGACATACATGTGGACAAGAGGCTCATGTTTCTTCTTATTTATACTTTTATATTTTTTTAATATTATTTTTGCTATTTTTTTTTTTTAAAGAAATATCTTTCCTTAATTTTGTTGGATATAGGATACAATCAAATATGCTTTGGTATCAGTGCGTATCCTTTCACGTGTTCATACTAGCATTGTGAAGTCATTTTGTTTTGAACTTGTATGCGCTTCGGATATTAGGACCCTTCACCTTCCAAGTCGGCACCTGACGGTCTATGAATTGGCACTTTGTTTTGGGACCCAAATATCTACAGTTACATTTTTAAGGTGAAGCTTAAATTATGATTTTGACAGACGAAAACCTATTTTGTCTAAATGGTGGGAAATGATTGTTACTTTCTTGTTTAGAAGTCCTTGAAATTAAACATTTGCAAACGAAAACTACTCCATTTTTTATACTTGAAATGCTTCACTATTCACACTATCTTTTAGTGATTCAATGGGTCTGGCAGGACTTGTTTTGTTCTCATTAAAACGTTATTTTGTAGAGATAACTCACTATTGTTTATTAGCTATTTTTTACTCTTTTAGTGATTCAATGGGTCTGGCAGGACTTGTTCTCATTAAAACGTTATTTTGTAGAGATAAGTCACTATTGTTTATTAGCTATTTTTTACCCTTTTTTTTTTCTTTGCATATTTGCATGCTAACATTTCTTATTTTTTATTTTTTATGTTGCTATCGTAATGTGGGTTTTTTCTAGCAGGAATTCGGTCATCATGTTAGGTTAGCAACTCATGTCAACTACCGGAATTTTGTAAGGTCAGCTGGTGTTGAGTTTTATCCATTGGGCGGTGATCCTCGGATAATGGCTGGATGTAAGTTCCATCGAAATCATAAAATATATTGAATTATTTGACTCCATTCAAAGTATTTTAATTAGTCAAACGCCGGTTTTAATTATTCTGAAAATTTTTTTCATTGTCATCCAAATTCATTACATCCATGGTGAAATCTTGGTTTTATGATTTTTCTCTCCATTCTATTTGAAAATGATTCTCTTTTTTTTTTTGTGCTGATGAAGGTCCTATTAAAAAATAGATAGTATGCATCTTATGCTGCTATTTTTTGAAATCATGAAAAAAAAAGGTGTGACATTGTAACACCGAGATAACCTGACATGGTAATGTGTCATGACTACAACAGATATGGTAAGAAACAAGGGTTTTCTACTCTCCGGTCCTACAGAAATATCAATACAAAGAAAGCAGCTGAAGGAGATTATAAACTCTCTCCTTCCTGCATGCACAGAACCCGACATAGAAACTGGTGTAACCTTCAGAGCTCAAGCAATTATAGCAAATCCTCCTGCATACGGTGAGGTTATAACTTGTGTAAGTGCACTTCAAATTAGATTCTCTATACTTTCTTTTTAGTTTTTTACAGCAGATGAAAGAAATTTATTTTTCTCTTGTCTTCAAGTCCTTACATTATGGTCACCTAAGAACTTGCTGTAGCCTTGTTTACTGGTTTATGGGTTGCGAATTGGTCAAGGGCCGAATGCTTGACTTCCATCCGATGCCCTTACTTTAGAGGAAGCTTGCTAGTTGATATATTTATTTTTTGGTTGCATAACATTTTTTCACGTGTACATCTTAACAATTGCTATGTAATGGCATTTGTTAGCTTTTTCTTCAACAATTGAATTAGTTTGTTCTAAGTTACATGGATATTTTCTTTGTTCTTTTTAGTATGTTACCTAGTTTTATAATCTTGAATACCATCCATAGAAAAGATGTAGCTAAAAATTTTGTATTATTCACTCACACAATGTGTTTTTACGCACAAAACTATCTTGAAAATAATGGAAAAACATTAAATGCCAAGAAATTAAAAAGAAAAATTGCTGTCCAAAACTTCTTTTCTTGGCTAGTCGGATGGAGTAATAGGTGCCACTCTCATTTTCATGTTAAGCACATGAATCCATGGCACTTATTATTTCATGTTTGACACATCAATTCATAAAATTTTCCTTTTTAATGCAAGCATATAAATTGACGGCATGTTTTTTTTCTTACCAACATACTGATTCATGGCTACTGTCATTCTTTATTTGATAATTCTAATAATTTAATCAGTCGATTTGAAACTAGATGGTAGAATTTTATCATTTTAAGGTTACTAAATTCTTTGGTAAATGTCAGTGAGTTGACTTCACATTGGAACTTACAGAGTGCAAAGTAACCTAGTTTCTAGCTTCTTTTTTATGAAATGCCTATTAGCCTCCATGTGTTTGGTTTGATCGTGTTATTTTGGATTATGAGCAATGCTTATGAGAACTTTATTATCATAGTATATCCTTGTAGGATTTTTCCCTTTAATTTTTAAAACTTCTAGTATAGTTTTAATCCATAGGAATTAACATAGATCTTGAGCGACTGAGTAACACAGCCTGCTCTCACTGTGCTCTAGACCACTGCTCTTCTCTTGCTTTGTTGTTGTAGTCACCTCACCAATCCATTCCACAGATATATCATGCATCTAGGACTTTTGCCATTGCAACCTCCCCCAAAGCCTTGTCATGCATCGCTGGCTATACAAAATTGCTTGGATTCACTATCTTCCTTTTGTTAATTTCAGTATTATGACTTTCTTATTGCAATCATTTTGTTTTTATCTCCATAACAAATTGAGACTTTGTATTTCTAATTAGAAATTTTTTAGGATTGCATATATTTGTGGGCTCTAGAAATTTGAAAGCCCTGGTTTGATACCGGAGTTAACCTAAACCACAATAAGAATGAAAATGTTATTGCTGAAATTTAAATGAGTTGTCACGATGAATCTTTAAAATAGGGAACAAACGATAACAAATATAACAAGACACCCTTGGGCAACAGTGAAGGGGTGTGGATGGTGGCCGGCCAGGAGGTGGATTTGCTGGGAGGTGGTGGCATTGTGGTTTGTGGAAATATAGTAGTTATAGTGGGCAGTTTGATGGCGGGACAACAAACAGGGTCTGGATGTGATGACTCGAGTAGGTGGAGGAAGATGGCTGGGCCACTGGGTAGTCACAGGGAATGCAGAGATTTGATGGTATGTGGATGGCTATAGAGATGGTGAGGGCTGGTGGTGTGTGTTATGGCAGTGGGGGAAGGCTAGGTGGGATTACGGTAGTGAAGGGGTTGTTGGTAGTGGGTTTTACGGTAGGGGAGAAAGGTTGGGAGGAGTTATAACAATAAACAGGGGGCAGAGAGGGGTTACGACTGAGAAAGTTGGAGGGGAGTCGAGGCTGCACGAATCTGGAATGAGCAGAGGCAACATTAAGCAGTAGTGAGGGAGGGGCACAATGATGCTGGATGCGAGCAGATGGGTGGAAGAAGCGAGGGAATATTTGGAGGTAGTCACCACCTCAAAGTGAGATATAATCAGAGCACCATCTGTCCTCGAATACAATCCTAGAAGGGAAAAAAGAGATATCGATGACTGTCCATATGTAAAACACAGATATATATATATATATATAGTAAGTTTGAGAGGGGGAAATATGCGATAACACTCCAGCCCTAATTAGGGCCTACCGATTCAGCCTCCCTGCTCTACCAGTAGCCCCTTAGCTAAACCCTGTTTGTTCAGTCTCAGTAGCTCCGCGTCACGGTCTCTCTCGAAAATGAAATAAAATGAAGTGAGAATTCCTGGTCAAATTTTCAAAACATATATGAGATAGTAGATAACACGCTACTCTGAGATTTCATCCGAGGTTCGAGGTTTCCCATAGCCGCTAACCCTTATGGCTAATTACCCCGCCCAATAACGGGGGAACACTTTCGATTAAGTTTAATCATTAGGCTCTAAGTATTAGGACGTAGCATATGGTAGCAACAAATTTATAATTTAAAATTATGAAAATTATCACTACAAGCTTAAAGTAGATGGCGGGGGAAACGATAGAGAACCCGATCAAGATTCTATGGAATCATGATCCTAGGCTGTGATTATATATGATCTACTTAGAGGAGGTGGTCGACCCAAAAAAAATAGAAGGATCATTGTCAGCAATCATTGGTAGCTTCGTTCAAAGGTATATTATATACTTGATGTGAATGTTTGTCTAAGGGTCTAAGAGACTAATCTAAATCTATCTTACAGAGGGCTTCGTGCTTAGCTAATTTATTATATGATTCATATCTCAAAGGGTAGAATGCCTTTGGGGAAAATACAAGTTATAGTCGTAACCGTTTTACGTTGGAGCCTACTGGCTAAACCACCCGGTCAGAGGGCTCTGGTCGTAATCATTTTATTCTAGCCTACTGGCCAGGTCAGGTGGACAGAGGACTCATGTCACGACCTTATTGACACATGATTGTTTTGAGTATGAATTCAATAATATGTTTAATATGATATTGACTTTTTATGAGCCCGAGTAAATATTAAATTTGCCACCCTCGATATACAATTACAGATATATGAATTTTGCTTTAAGTATCGATTGATAAAATTTTACTTTGGTTATTTTATAGATATTATGATTTTAAAATTCTATTTTTTATAAGTGAACCTCTCTAGTTGAGATTTGCAATGAATATGCCATTGTACCTTTTTGACCATTGGCTTTGAGTAGGGTCCGAAAACAAAAGTGCCCATTCAAATTAAAAAATGAATATGCCATTGTACCTTTTTGACCATTGGCTATGAGGGGTCCGAAAACAAAAGTGGCCATTCAAATTAAAAAACAACAAATATTCTAATTGGTTTGCTTTAGTTTAATCTAAAGTCGTATATCATTATTGGTTCGAACACCTAGAGTGTTTAACAACTATCGAATTGGACGACTTTTCTCGTTAACGTGTGAAACTAATCGATCAGTTAAACCACTTTAATGATCTAACCGATCCATGTTCCATTGGGGTACTTTAAGGCCCAATTGTCTTTTGGTGTTTCAAATTGACTATGTTCAATTGTAGTTGATATATGCGAAAGAAGTTTTGCGCTTATTGTAATGCAATTTTCGGGCATCATCCGAGCAAGGTGTAAATCCTTCGGGTATCCTATACTCGGTATAACCAATGAACAATGAAGAGGAAGGCCATAGAGCCCCCTTGAAACACGTCGTTCGCTCACGCTTCATGCAGGTCCGAACCGTGTTTGACATATTCATCATAAATGAATGAGGTGAACACCCTTTTAAGGGGTTAATGTGAATTCCAGTCTAAGACTAAACGTCTATGGCTAGCACACCCTACTTAGGTCAACTTTCTTTGTATCTCGATTGACGAAAGTCAAAACCGATTGATACTTGTTATTATGTGTGAGGAAAGTCATGCACTTTCCTCAACATACTTTTTCGATCACACATTCTTATGCAAGGGTTTGAAAACAAACAATACCCATTCAAAATGAATGAATGTGGTTATTAACATCAATTTTTTTGGTGTTACTACATTAGGTTGTTCGCCTGCATGACTCGAGATAGTTTACGGTTCGTTCGTAGCATCCCGTAGCTTAAGACACCCATCCGGGACTCTCTAGCACTTGTTCGGGGCACAGAGCTAGAATTGGCGGTGATTTAGCCTTACCCAGAGAACCCGCTATCGCAGGAGCTCATTCAGGACACATGACATATTCAGTGCCCATTCTGGTGTTTAGAAGTCACTGCACGTCCATCTGGAGCCTCCCGTGGCCAAGGGAAGTTATGAAGTCCTACTTGTGCTGCGAAAAAGTTTGGGTTCGGGATGCCCTACCCATGATGTGGCTTTGGTCGACCGTTGGCGGCGATTTCTCCGGTGAATGACCGATCAAAATACTTAATTTTGAAGTTATGGGACCACATTTCACTCATATGGAGTCTCCCATAGCTTACGGATCGAGAAAATCCTCCGTCGAGCGCTCTGAATGTAAATCAGGATTTTCAGGGCTCGACCGACGCCTAGGTCCCAGCTCTGGGCGCCTACGCACCCCAGCTCTGGGCGCCTAGGCGCCCAACATGCCTTCCCGAACGTTTAAAATTGAGCCACTGGAAGTCTGGCCAGTCCTGAGCACCTAGTCACCAAAATAACTCATAAGTAGTCATTTTTTTGAGCCCATGGAAAGTAGGCGTTTAGGCGCCAGCCCAATTTCGAGTTGCAAAAAACTCACTTTTTCACTCCAATTTGACTCTGGTGCACCCCAACATTTTTTTTTTTTGCATGTGGATCATGTCCCATATCTATTGTGTGATCACGTGAGCACTTCAGTTCAATCGTTCGCACCGGCACGATCGACCGATCACCTTGGGTCTGTTCGGTCTTTTCGGCTTGATCTTCTTAATTTTTGGTTTCGATCAGCCACATCGGCCTGATCGCTCGTTCTATTGGATTTGATCAACCGCCCCGTGTTAATCACCCGTTTTAGATCCTATCGGCTGTCCCGACTCGATCGACTGACCCGATCTGATCGCCTGATCTTTTGGGTTCGATTGACCGCCCCACGTTGATCACCCGCTTTAGGTCTGATCGGTTATCCCAGCTCGATCGACCTATTCTTCGGGCTCAATCAGCCGCCTCAGCCCGATTGCCCGATCTTTTGGATTTGATCAACCGCATCATTACAATCATTCGCTTAAGGTTCGATTGGTCTTCCTGGCCCGATCGACCTAGTCTACGGGCTTGATCAGCCTCTCCAGGCTGATTGCCAGATCTTTGGGTTTTGATGGACCACACCGGTATGATCACCCACTTTGGGTCGGATTGGCCATCCCATTTCTCGAGCTTGATCGACCGCCCTAGACCGATTCCTCGATCTTTTGGGTTCGATCGACCACCCCGTGATGATCACCCACTTTAGGTTGGATCGACCATCCAGGCTCAATAAACCTAATTTTTGGGCTCGATCGGCCACACCAGCCCAATCGTGTTTGATTGACCACACCAATACGATCACCCACTTTGGATCTGATCGGTCGTCCCGATCCCATCGATCCATTTCTCGTTCTTGATCGGTCGCCCCCACCTGATTAATCGATCTTTTGGGTTCAATTGACCGCCTCGCGTCGATCTCTTTCTTTAGGTCCGATCGGTCGCCTCGACCTGATCGACCTATTCTCTTGGCTCGATCGGCCGCCCCGCCCCAATCGCCTTACTTTTAAGTTTTGATCGAATGCACATATACGATCACTCGCTTTGGGTCGCAACCTATTCTCTTGGCTCGATCGGCCGCCCCAATCGCCTTTTAAGTTTTGATCGAATGCACATATATGATCACTCGCTTTGGGTCCAATCAGTCATCCCAACTAGATCAACCCATTTCCTGGGCTTGATCAGTCGCCCCAGCCTGATTGCTCGATCTTTTGGGTTCGACCAACCACCCCGCATCAATCACCTGCTTTTGGTCTGATCTGCCATCCCAGCCCGATCGACCCATTTCCCAGGCTTGTTCGGCCGCCCTGAACCAATTGCTCGATCTTGTAGGTTTGATCGACCATAATGATACGGTCACCCGCTTTGGGTCTGATCGACCATCATGGCATGATCGACCCATTTCTCGGGTTTGATCAGTTGCCCTTGCCCAATTGTCTGATCTTTTGGGTTCGATCGACCACCCCGTGTCAATCACCTGCTTTACGGCGGATCTATTGTCCCAATTTGATCGACATTCTCCAGGCTTCATCGGCCTCCTGGAATTTATCGCTTGATCTTTTTGGGTTTGATCGACCACGCCGGTACGATCAACCGCTTTGGGTTTGATCGATCGTCCTGACCCAATCTACCCATTTCCTGGGTTTAATCAATCGCCCTGTGCGGTTGCCCGATCTTTTGGGTTTGATCGACCGCCCCTGCGATTACACGCTTTAAGTCCGATCGGCCGCCCCGGCCTGGTCGCCCAATCTTTTGGGTTTGATCAACCATACTGGTTCGATCACCCGTTTTAGGTCTGATCAGTTGTCCTGAATCGATCAACCCATCCTTTTGATCTGATCGACCGTCACGGACCGGTCTCCCGATCACTTGCATGCTTTCTTGTATTTCTTGCATGCTGTATGTTTCTTTGCATTTGTATGAAAAATCTTTTGAATTTATGTCTACGATGTATGTCATTGCATGTAAAATAATTTTGTCTTGTATGCTTTGCATGTAGCATATTTGGATGTCTCTTTGAACATTCATGTTTGGGGTGTCTTTTTGAGCACCCCCACTTGTAAGTATCTTCTTCACATACGACGTTGTATGCACGGGGATGGACACTTGCACATTTTGGGAGGAGCCGACTCACTCATATGTCATTTATCTCACTCTCTACGACGCCACCTAGAGGGTCATATGTATTTCACATTGTGTCAAGCACGAGTCAAGCTTCTAGCCATTAAACTCGTGCGAGGCACAATGTATGTCCACTCAGGTGTGTGATTCTCCTTTGTAAGGATCACATCACTTAGTTTGTTTGACACTTAGCATTTCTATAAAGAGAATTTCATCATTTGATTTGAACCTTATCAACTCAGCCCCGCTTACAGAGGATCGAGTTCATGGTATATAATATCATTTGAATTTAAAAATGGACTTTGAGAGTTGATATGAGAATAAATCCCTCCTATTGAAATTCACTATCAACCTGACCATCATCGGGGAATTTGATCATTTGATTTGAACCTTGTCAATTCGATCCTGCTCATAGAGGATCATATCCCTAACCTAAATTCATTATTTTATTCAAATATTCTTTCTAGCTTAATTTTGAAGATAAACCTCTCAGATTGAAATATTCAATCAGTTCAGCTATCATTGTGAGATTTGATCATTTTATTTGAACCTTGTCAACTGTGTTTCTCATAGAGGATCGAGTTCTTAACCTATATTGATTAGTTTATTCAAATATTATTTTGAGCTTAATTTTGAAGATAGAGCCCCTCGGTTGAATCATTTAATCAATTTGACCATCATCAGAAAATTTGATCATATGATTTGAATCTTGTCAGTTTGTCATACTCACAGAGGATCGAGTTTATAACCTAATTTGATTAGTTTATTCAGATATGTCATTAGCTTAATTTTAAAAATAGACCCTTCTAGTTGAAATATTTAATCAACCCGGTCATCATCAGGGATAAATTATTATTTAAATATTATTAAAAGTATTAGTCTTCCCGGTTCCAGTCCTTGTGAGGAGGAGGATCAGATTAATACGTCAGAAGCTCAATCTTGTCAACTCCCTTCATAATTAGGAGAAGGATTAGATTAGCATAGCGTGGGCTTAATTTTATCAACTACGGTACCTATAGGGAGTATGATATTTGTGTACATATTATTATTTTAAGCTTTCAGTTTCTACTTTTGACTGCTCTTGAAGTTGGGATTGCAGATCTGTTGGCGATAAATAGAAAATTGTAAACAAATTGGTAGGATTTAAATTAGATTCCGATTCAGATGCTTAGTAGATGTTGCTTTAGAATTTTGGCTTTACATGAGTGGTGAGATTTGTCTTTATATGGTTTATCAACTCTATCTGCCCTTTAACTTGATCTTTGAGCACTCGAGACTAGTGCCAATGAGCTTCTCTAGGTACCAAATGTACTATCTGATTAAAATAATATTAATAATGATAAAATTAAAATATTAATACTCGAATAGACATCAAGGGATATGCGCCACACGCTCCCATTCAAATCAAACGAACGGAGAGAAGAAGGGACAGAGGAAGGAGAAGGAAGAAACGATAGTGAAGGTGAGGGAAGAAGAGGAGGAAGTGTGAATCTCATCGCACTGGAACAATGTTGTTTTCATTGTTGTCCATTTTGCAATTTGGTGATGTTTCAAATGATTTCCAACGTGATCGAGGCATTTCAGGTTTGATCACATTGTGTCGTATTCATTGTTTGCTGCTTTTGCCGCGTTCTACTGATTTGTTTTATAGAATTGATGTGTGGTCAACAATATTCTACATATAAGCTGAAAGTAACCAATATTTTTAATATTTTGTCGACTTTATTTAGTTACATTACATTATGACTTACACTACATAAGCTGAATTGTGATTGGGAAATTTATCGAGTGCTTTCTCATATTTTAAAATACTTGCAGGACATGCACACGTTGCTGAAGCTCTTCGTGTACCTCTTCATATCTTCTTCACAATGCCTTGGACGTAAGATGTGACAGATAATTCAGTTTTTCCCTTGCTTTTTAATGTTTTTCCACTTTCCTTTTAAAACTTGCTTTAGATTTTTTTTTTCTTCTGAATCATGGCATCAGAAAAAGCCAAACATAAGTTCTGATTTCATTTATATGTCAACCGTTTTAATAGTTCTAAAGAATGATAACATGTTTCTTTTGGCAATAGCGCATGTGAATATATGGTACTCTTCTCTTGAATATGGGTCAATTCAACCTTCTCTTGTCATCTTCTACACCTTTTGTTTGAATGTATGAATTGCGTAATTCAGCAATTTTTTCTCTAGGAATAGTTTTCTATGTTTTGAAATGCATTAGTTTCTTTAATTTACAACTGATTCAGGATTCCCGTCTCAGTTTTACTGTTGCAATTTTTTTTGTGAGAATTGATTCTAAAATTGATTGCTTTTGTTTGGTTATGTGCACAAGCGGATTGTTAAATTAGAGTGTAAGAGTACACATTGAGATTTATTATTATTATTATTGTTATTTTTTGCCGAGTCTTCATAGCAGATAAAATTATCTAATCAACCTATATGTGCACATGCAAGATTTATAATGTGATCAAGTGATATAATACTAGATGTGAAATAGAAGCACAATTCTAATATTTATGCAACAACCATAGAACATAAGCATTCAACACATGTAAATCCTCACATTAGCTTAAATGAAGTGCAGTATGGTAACACAATTAAAGTATAGAGCAATGAATCTCCTAAAAGCATAAATATAAGCAACATGCTCAAATTTCTTCATTTGAGCAACAAAATCCATGTGGGATAATAAAGTAGGTAGTGTAAATGGATCTCCTAAATGCATAAATATAAGCAACATGCTCAAATTGATTACTATAGTTTTATTGGCTTTTAAGCAAATCATTTATGAAATTTTCAATTATTTTATTCTCACACTTTTTAAAGGTGCTTATATAATGCAAGTTTGAAATGCAACATGATTGCCATTAGCATGCATACTACGTGTAGTGCTAGAAGCTAAACATTTGTGTAACTTACCTCCTAAGTCAACTTTCTCAATTTCTATCATAAAACATCACTATATTATCATGCAAAGTTCCCTGTCCTGTTCACATGAAGTGACGCTTGAAGAAGCTAAATAAGATAATTCATTAATTTCATTCTTAAGGTTAACATTCTCATTTTTATGGAACTTGATTTTAATTTATCCTTCAAAATCTACTGTCATTTTTTCATGATTCATTTTCATCATGTAAGATATCAATAAGAAAACAAATGAGGATAATTCTTTCTTTAGAGAAATTTGTATATATATTTTAAACATATAACTCATTTGCCAAATTATCAAATGATGTAGATAGCGAGAAATATGGAAGCCAATTTGTGTCATCATTTGAGGGGAGGAGGGGTGCACTTGTCCTTATTGAATTGCACTATTAGGCTTATGATGATTCTTTATTTTGTCTCTTTTCTTTGTGGCCTTCTTTCTTCTATTCTTCTTGATATATGTGTATATGATTTGTTCTCTTAGAGCCTTGGGTTGTTCTCTAATTGATATAATATTTCTTTGGCTTTCTTACTTCTCATTCCTAGATCTTCCCTATTAAGGATTTGATTTTCAGTTTTTTTTTTTCCTTTTTTGTTTTTCACTTAAAAATAAATATATGGTGTTCTGATATAAGTACAAAATATTTAAAAAAAAATTATAAACATTGCATTTTGTTTCGGCAAATCAATTTCAACTTTTGTCCATAAATCAAAGGACTCTTTAAATATATGTATCCTTTACAAAAACAATAAATTGGGAATAACCATCCTCCATAGACTAACCATTTTCCATATTTCATATTCTGAATTTTTGAAACTACTAAAATATATTTATTCAAAAAATTCCAAAAAATTAAGATGCATATTTAAAAAAGATGGTCTGCTAATGAATTACAATCGGTCAAGGAATAAAATAATGTGTGATATAAGGATTTACTTTAGGTTGCGAAGCGAAATATACATAACCTTTGCTTTTATGTCATCTATTGGGTTGGGATGAAGGGTGGGGTGATGAATTGGGTTGTGAACAGTGCAAGTGTTTTTGCAAACTCTTCCAATCTAACCTAAACGAATAGGAACAGCATTAATAAAAAAAGCTATTTAATCAATCTACCAGTGCACTCGTGCAAGATTTAGGATGTTGAAGGAGCAATATAAAAATGGATATGGGAGTAATGAAGCATGAGGCACAAGCATAGCAATTTACTTCAGTAATAATACATAGGTATGCCACATGTCAATCTTGTAGAAGTAGACAAAATAACTGAATTGCATAGCACAAAATTATGCAAATCAATTTTATTGCTGTTGGGCACCAACCACCAACATCCATATTGCGAACCCTCTCTCATGGGAAATTTACCATCCTTCTTTGCTGATGCAGTAGGAGAAACGTTTGTAGAATCCTTGCTCATGCTTGGATGTACATCTAGACCTTCCACAAGTGGCTAGATGCGCCTTCAACTTCACTCAGCTCAACTTATTTGCTTATTTGGTAACTTGTCTTTTCACTTTTTCACCTTCTCCTCTTTGGGTGTATTATCTTTGCCTCTACTTTGGTTTTCTCTCTTACTTATTGCTCACCTGCTCTCTCTCTTTCTCTAATTCTTTCTCCCTTGCTATCACTCGCCCTTTTTTTTAAGCCAACTTATTAAATAGACACTTAAGGTATTTACTACACTTTTTTATTCCCATTTTTGAGCAAATGATCTACACAACTTAATTAAATATTTAAATAATTAAATTTTTTATTGATTTCTAATTTGTTATTTGTATTTCTCAGTTAGATGAATAATGTTTTGATTGGTTACAACTACACTTCTTATTGGTGACCGACTCCTTATGATTTGCTTACCTAATAATCTCAATTGGCTGAGAATCAATGATGATAAAATTGATTTGGAATTATGACTGCGATAGAGCAGCGTAGATTTTGATTTTATCTATTTTTGATTATTTAAGAGAATTATATGACTGAGTTTTGTTCTACTGTTTTAAGTGCCCAAGTGTCCAATTTGGTTTACAGCTGTGACTTTGCATATTGACAGCCTATAGCTTCATGGATGAAACAGTTTTGGCACGTCATTTTATCCATTTGCATTTCACGTTAACTCATCTACATAATGGAGCATTTCTTGAAAATAATATGAAAGGTGTTGATTAGATTATGCAGTCCTTGTCAATTATAATTTGCTTTGCAAGTGCATTTTTGCTGTTTGATGAAGTATATTTTATTTAATTTGCATTCCGTCTGCTGCAATAGATTTTTGTTTTTAGGCATGGGTGCCCTTTCTTATTTTTTAATATGCAGGCCAACAAGCGAGTTTCCTCATCCTTTGGCACGTGTTCCTCAGACTGCTGCATATCGGGTATATTTCTAGCTCATGCAGCTACTGGATTTTTTACTTTTATAAGCTTAGTAAATCTCTCAAGTTGTCTAATATTTTTCTTACATTATTTTAGCTTTCATATCTTGTCGTGGACCTAATTGTTTGGTGGGGAATCAGAGGGTTTATTAATGACTTCAGAAAAAGAAAACTTAAGTTGCCCTCAATCACTTACTTCAGTACGTATCATGGATCTATATCACATTTGCCAACAGGCTACTTGTGGAGCCCCCACCTTGTGCCTAAGCCAAATGGTGAGCATGAAGTTTTACATTTGTAGCAGTACCCACTCATTTCCTTCCTGTCTTTAAATTTTTGAAGAAAATTGATCTCTTTCTTTATTTCAAAATAAACGTATTGCTTTTTATCTGCGTACTAATGCACAAGATTTCCAGATTGGGGTCCTTTAGTAGATGTTGTTGGATTCTGTTTCTTGGACCTTGGAACCAATTATCAGCCATCTAAAAAGTTTGCACAATGGCTTCTACAAGGGTCAATGCCTTTATACATTGGTTTTGGTAGCATGGTAAGGTTCCTGTTAAAAACACAATGTTGATCAGGATGCTGAAATGAGCAGCCTGTTTTCTTAAATTCATTCTTGATTCATAATATTGGTTTTTCCACCTAATATTTCAAGATTTGTTGTAGAAAAAGTGTTTTATTTCTCCAGATGCTTAGCAAGAATTTTTAGTTGAGCACCTTTATTTTTTGTTCTGTTTTTTGTTTGATATTGAGTTTCAGATGTTTTTAGTTACGATTACTGCTATATATGTTGAGTGCTAAAGTGGGAATTATCCTTTAGTTCTGGCTAAATGTTTTAGTGTTTTATGAATATCGATGATAATTTGATTTGAGTATGTAGTCATGAGAACTTTATGGCAATACAATCCTTAATAATGTCCTGCTCTCAAAATTGATTATGGAAAATCACTTGGAAGCAAATCTCATTAGCGTTATCTGCAGTTAAGGGCAGGCCACAATACCATGGATGCTTATTTCCATTAGCAGAACATGTAAGACATGACCTTAGAACTTGTAGATAACATTGCACATTATTAACTTTGGTAGATGATTGCAAAATTCTATCCCGCTTTTTACACTTCCTTGGATCCAGAACCTTACCCTAAAAAGGCAATAATTTGCAATTGATATTCATGTGCCAAGACTTCAATTTGCATTAATAAATGCAGACTAGGTTAGGGGAGACCTGGTAGGAGTACACCTAAGATATTTTATAATATAATGAGCAAATGCAAGCTCTGACCTTCATGAACCATTCATTAATTGATAAAAAATATCCACCATATGAATTATCAACTGTCAAAAACCATGAGGCTTCCAACCAATTTTCGATAGTGAGTAGGATCTTCGAGAGGAATAACCTTCATCTGTGTGTCAACTGTTCCACTATTTCTTGTTTAGCTATAAAGGAATTAGATCTTGCGACTAATTTTGGTCATTTCAGTGTATTCTCTTTCTCT